ACATCCCATGGGTGAAGGAAAAAAGATTCCAGTTTTAAAAATTGCTCCACCAGAACATTAAGTGATTACAGTTTTGGGAAGGCCATACCCTCCCTTCGGGTCCTGAGATGACCAAGAGGAGAGGACAACCTCCGATGCCTGAGCTAGTAAAACCAATACTGGGTCTGTTGCCCCTTTCCCCAAGGAGTCTCATACCGTTAACTGCTGCCGCTGTCCACAGATCAAAAAAAGTCAGCGACTAAATCTTTTTTCCTCTCGTGCAAATCCCCAACAGGACAATGTCACCACCTAGTGACTGAAAACAGAATAGCAGGTTACTTTTAAAAAATCAGTTGTGAAATGGAAGTTCTTTCCCCCCCTGTGGAAGGAGATACAGGATGTTGCTTCCCGCACCTTTTCCTCTTCCCAGCCTGCTTTCTCCTGGAGTGGAATTAGAACTTGAGTCATCAGAAGGGAAGCACCGTATTGCAACGATTGGCTTGCATGGAAGACGGAATAGATCGTTTTGCTATGTTATCCCTGACAGATGCAACAACTTCTGCCTTACACTGGCCAGAAAGCCTGCAGTGGATTTATCACAGTTTGGATGACAGAGGCATCTGCTGTCCCTGCACAGCATCACGAGGCTGCTGCCCCCTGGAGGCTGGAGGCCATATTGCACCTATGGCTTGAAATGGAAGACTCTCTCTTTCTGTCGTTTCTTCTCATCCACAGAGAAGAAAAGTCTGTAGTCTGTGATCCTTCCCATCCTGGCAGAGTGTCTTAAAAGTCCCAGTAGTTGCACGCAAGAGAGAAAAGTTGGGGAGGGGGGGGCACATCCTGAGAAATAAAAGAGGAAATGTGACGGGATTTGTTCAGACAGTGGCTGGCTTTTTTTTTTGGTGGGGGGGTGTGTGTGCCTGGGATGCACACGAGAGGAGAGGAGGGGGGGCGGAGGAAGAGGACGCACCCCCCATCCTCAGGGCTACGTGGCTTCAGCCTTGGATATCTCTTTGATGGGGGGAGCAGCCGTATCTTCCTCCTCTGCTTTCTTGGACAGGACTGACTCAACGACGTTGTGCAGCGACGGCTCACGATACAAAGCCACTGTGCAGGAAGGAAAGAAGGAAGAGGAGGAAATGAGAACGGGACAGGGATCGGGGGCCCTAAAACCCCCCCCCCAGTGGCAATCCTAGCCTACGGGCCCAATCCAACCAGGACACCATCTTGTGTTAACTGCACAGAAATGATGTTTCCTGGGTCTCCCACATTTTCCAGAAGGCCAGTGTGAAAACAGGGCAGGAGCCGTCGCACATGTAGTATGAATGATAATATAAGGATTTTTCGTTCAGATGATTCATATTTCTCTGGTTTTCTAGATTGTTCTCATAAGTAAGATTTTATTAGGATGTGATGAAATAATAGGCCTTTCCCTTGTAGGTTAGAGCATTTTTCTACCTGATGGTATCAGACAAGAAAACAAAATTCTTTTGGTATGGAAGAGAAGTATAGAGTTCATGCTTTTTTAGTTGTTTAGGGTACAACTTTTCAGTGTCTGGGTCAAAATAGAGATTTTAGCTTCATATCAGAGAAAAACACCTTTGTTTGGGTATGAAGAATCCTTGGCTAATACTATTCAGGTTAGGTCAAATAAAACATTTTAAGGTATCACGTAGGCACGCCTTCCTCTATATTTGACCAATGAGTGGACCATTACTCAAATGATGCACTGTCCTCTGTAACCAAATATGCTTTTTGAATGTTATCTTCATGACTATGTCATTTCAAGTGTAAAATTTCATGTACTTCCTGACTGTGTTCAGAAAGCAGTCAATTTTTGAAAGGCTGTTTTGGCCTAACTGTTTTCAGGTGTCTTGATAGTGTTCCCTCTAAGCTGAGTTAGTGTGAGCCAGCTCACAGTTTTTTTAGCCCCGGCTCAGACATTTTTGCCTTAGCTCAGGAAGGATGGGGCTCCAGAGCAAACTAATTTATGCAGTAGCCAAATGGCTCACTCACAACTTTCATGCCAGTCGCTCACAAAGTAGAATTTTTGCTCACAAGACTCCACAGCTTAGAGGGAACAAACACTATGAACCTTCCTCCTCATTTTGACTTCTTTTTTTTGACTGGGAATCTATTTGTATAACACACGAGAGTTGCCGTGTAAGAGTACACACGACCGTGTTAAGAAGGGCCAGGAGAAAGGCAACATGAGCTGTGCAAGAGGCTGCTTGCAGAACAATGGCTCCGCCAGAGAGCACCTGCACATGAGGAACTGTGCAGGGGGGGTACACTTTGAATCCCGGGGACCAGGGCCCAAGAGACTTCCCCGATGCTCACCTTCCAGCAGTTTGGGGAGGAAGTGGGCGGCGGCTTTGGTCTTCTTGACTCGGTTTCCCTTCATCACCTGCCCGTCTTTGTTGATGCCCAAATACCATGACCGTCCTGATTCCCGCTGCCGGTACAGGGTGGAAGAATACATCACATAATAGTTTTCAAAGACACACTCCTTGAAACGGCACTCAGCGGTGAAGTGAGCCTGGAGTGGGGTGAGGGAAGAGAAGGGGGTTAACCTCCCCCTGGCCTTAATGCAGCAGATCTGAGGCTTGACCGTGCCCCTAGAGTCCCCCGTTCCAGAACTGCAAAAGGTGGGTTTCATGGGGCATGCAGGGGGAGGGGAGGCAAGGAAGAGACACCAGCAGAACTCCAGATGCATCTCTGAAACAATGCTCCCTCTAAGCTGTGGAGTCTTGTGAGCAAAAATCCTACTTTGTGAGCTCCTGTCATTAAAGTTGTGAGCGGGCGATTTCGCTGCTGCATAACTTAGTTTGCTCTGGAGCCCCATCCTTCCCGAGCTAAGGCAAAAATGTGTGAGCCGGAGGCTGAAAAACTGAGCTAGCTCACACTCACTCAGCTTAGAGGGAACACTACTCGCAGACAGCTTTTTTGAAGGGGGAGGGGCTCTCCAATTTGGACTGGGGCCGCAGGGTAGAGGTGCGGGATCTAATCCTCCCTCTATGCTATCCTGTCCATCTCAAACGCCCCCCGGGGGCTGCGATCTGCCCCATCAGGAGACACAGGCAGGCTGTACGTTTTCCTCAGTGGGAGATATAGCGGGGGGGCAGGTAGTGGGGTCTTTCCTTAGTCTGTAAAGCAGGATGCATTTTTAGGTAAAGGTTTCCCTTGCTCGAAAGCCAGTCGAATCCGACTCTACGGGGCAGTGCTCATCTCCGTTTCCAAACCGAAGAGCCAGCGCTGTCCGAAGACATTTCTGTGGTCATGCAGCTGGCATGACTAAACGCCGAGGCGCACGGAGCGCCGTTCCCTTCCCACCGAAGCGGTACCTATTTATCTACCTGCAATTTCTTGCTTTCCAACTGCTAGGCTGGCAGGAGCTGGGGCCAGAGACGGGAGCTCACTCCGTCACGCGGCACTCGGGTCCTGAACTGCCGAACTACAGACCTTCCGGTCTGCAGTTCAGCAACCTCTGAGCCACTGTGGCCCAGGACGCATGTTGTGTATAAGAACCTGCCTTGACCTGTCGGATCTCATAACCTAAGCAGGGGTGGCCCTGGCCAGCATTTGAATGGGAGGCCACCCAGGAAGTCTAGGGTCTCTACGCGGAAGCCTGCAATGGCAAACCACCACCGCGGCTCCTCTCTTGCCTTGAACACTCCACCGGGTGGCCAAAACTCACCTGTAATTTGACAGCAACATACAGCAACAGCAAAAACAAATGGAAGTGCAGAAGAGAGAGGGAGGAAATGCTGAAGAATCAGAGAGAACATAACATCCGAAGAGCCCTGCTGGATCCGACCAGGGAGGGTCCCTCCAGTCCAGCTTCCCGTCTCACACAGGGGCCAGCCAGTCCCCCTGGAGGGCCAGCAACAGGGCAGAGAGGCCGAGGCCTTCCCCTGATAAGGAACCTCAGAAGAGCCCTGCCGGATCAGACCAGGGAGGGTCCCTCCAGTCCAGCTTCCCGTCTCACACAGGGGCCAGCCAGTCCCTCTGGAGGGCCAACAGCAGGGTCGAGGGGCCTAGGCCTCCCCCTGACCAGAACCTCCGAAGAGCCCAGCTGGGTCAGACCAGGGAGGGTCCCTCTAAATCCACCCTCCCGTCTCACACAGGGGCCAGCCAGTCCCTCTGGAGAGCCAACAACAGGGCAGAGAGGCCTAGGCCTTCCCCTGATAAGGACACCAGAAGAGTCCTGCTGGATCAGACCAGGGAGGGTCCCTCCAGTCCAGCCTCCCATCTCCCACAGTGGCCAACCAGTTCCTCCGGAGGGCCAGCAGCAGGGCAGGGGGAGTCCTTCCCCTGACGTTGCCTCCTGGCTCTGGGATTCAGCGACTGACTGCCTCTGGATGTGGAGGTTCCCTGTAGTCACCCTGGCTAGTAGCCACTGATGGACCTCTCCTCCCTGAATCTGTCTACTCCTCTTTGCCTGTGGCCATCACGACATCCTCGGGCACAGAATTCCACATTTTAATCCATCGTCGTGTAAAGAAGTATGAGTGTATCCAGATGTTTAACCCATTCTCGAAGTCAGTTGTCATTCTAAGCCCTTCTCTCTCCCTAGGCTTGAGATTCGATAGGCAAAACTGCGTACGAAAGGAGACCCTGGCCCAGCCCCGTAGCTAGGGAATTCTTTGGGAGGGGGCCTCGTGGGGCCCACCAGCTAATTAAATGGAAGTACAGTGCAGGTGGTAAGTTGGAGCACTTTGGGGGCAGCCCAGGAGGGAGGGGGCCCAGAAGAAACACTAGGGGGGCGGGCCCCATGGGCCCCATGTTAGCTATGGGCCAGCGCCTGGCCCCACATTGGAACCCCACTCTTCCCCCCCCCCAACATTTGGGGTGCAGTAAGAGGTGCACGCCACAAGGTGGCACTGCACTATGCCCGATTCCAGGCAGGTGGTTCTGAAACGGGCTGGGAACTGGGGGGGGGGGGGGGCCCTCTCACC